ATATATATATATATATATTGATTTGCTGAAGAAATGTTTTAATTAAGCAATGCGGTAATAAAACCCTGCCTACCAAAAATACTACCAATGCAATTGTTCAAAATTAATGGAAAGGTGATTGCAAACCCGTAAGAACCTACGGCTGCTGATATTCAAACTTAGATATAATTAACAAGCCGATTGGTATTTCTAACTGAGTATGTTAGAGTGACGAAACTTAAGCGCCAAACTTAGGATCTGTGCATTTTATTATCTGTTGACTGTACTGATGGAAATTCTGTTCGATTCTCCAGAAAGATCCAGCGTCAGCAAAGCGTCGTAGTCTTTTGATCGATTGGGAGAAGGCCTTCGAAGAAGCTGGCCTCCCGCCCCCTCCAAGTCCTCCCGAAATCCTTCGGCATCCCCAGAGAGACGTTAATAACGAATTGGCTATTAACTACAAAGAGGTGAGTGCTTTCGTTTCGTCAATATCTGTGAACGGAGCTTCGATTATCTACTGCTGTATTTGAAGATAGTTTTACATGCAAGCTCTAATATCTTTGAAACTAATTATGTGCTAATTTTCCCCATGTTTTACTTTTGTGAATAGCAGAATGATGATACTGTTTGACTTACATACATAATCCCTGTGGTACTTAATTAGATCAAAATTAACAATGATTCGGTTGTTGCTAGTTTGAATGCTTGCAAGTTTCGATTTGGCGTCCAATCTTCTGACTTAATTCATAGCCAAACTGTGCAATAAACTTCAGTCAGATTTGTGGTTTAAACTCATGTCCATAAATCATTATTTTTTACATCACATTTTGTCAGCCAATTTAGTTTACCATTCGATTAGGTTACTTTTCAAACTGCTCTAAAGTGTCTAAAGCGCGTTATTTATAATACTTTAATATTAAACTGTACTGTAATATGTTGTATCTTCGTGATTTTTTTTTGGTTTATATATTTGGAATAAGATTTCTCTGATGAAAAATCCCACGACACCAACCTCACCTTAACATAAGCTAATCTTTGGCTATTAGAGGTTAATTAATTAGGATGATGTGGCGTCAATCATTCATTTTGATCATCTCTTCAATTAGATGTCAACTGTCCTTTAGGAGATTTCGGGTTAACTCCAAACATAAAAGAGCATACAAGCTGACGAAACCCGATTTAAATCATATTTGATAATTGATGTCCATACAACGCCTTTTCTACGCACTCTCCACATATACCTCAGCTCCAAAGCTTTGCTTGCAATCATCTTTATTCAGGATCGATATGATCAAAGGCTTTGACGATTAATGGAAATAGTGTTGGTAAATGGGAATTAAATGACTATTCATTCGTTTCCTTTTTAGAAGTCTAGAGACTTTTGTGTGGTGTGTAAGAAGCCTCTCTATGCGGCAGAGAGTCGAGCCTATGATGGCTTTCTCCTCCATCCGCGATGTTTCCGTTGTGTAGAATGCCAGCGTCCACTTCGGCCGGACATTGCACGTTGTCAATATCACCCCAAAGACCGTAAGTTTACCGAATTTTAATTTTTATTATTAAGTAGGAGAGTATTCTTAGGTCGGCCAATTCGAGGAATGTCGTTGATGTATTTCGTTTGTCCAGAGATGATATTTTTTAAGAACTCATAAAATTGATAAATTTATGCACTTCAAATTGTTTAACGAACTCTAAGCTCTGCGGACATGCATTTTGCTACTTGAAGATTAAATAAGGGTACTTATTGATTAAAAGGTGAACCATCTTTTAACCTGAATAAGCACATGAAGTGGAGCTCTTTTCAGAACACCCTGTTATTCTTCACTTCTTCTCAACTCACTGCTTTCCACTATTAAAAAATTCATTTTTCAGTAATCAAATATTAAAATGCCACAATCCCTTTGTTTTAATACCCACTCCTTTTAAGTTTGATACTTGAAATTACGTTCAATTTCATAAAAAATCTCATACTTTATTTTCTTCTATCACTTCACATATGTAGTACTCAAAAACTGATGTGTAATTCATATCTGTGTGTGATTCTCCAACCACAGACACATTTCTTTCCTCAATCGAATCTTCCTGTACTTTTGTACTTTATTCTTTAAGTAGCATCATCAAGTATATTAAAAACGGTTATCATCTTGAATTAACACGGCGACTAGCTAAACACACACACGCGCGCGAAAATTTTCACATGTGCGTACCTAGGACGCAATGATGCAATCCATCGCTGATTGGTTGCGGTGCATGACGCGTTTTGTTTGCCACGTTTGGGTCCTACGCGTGCAAATGCAGCTTTATTTTCGGGAAGCTTCACTTTTTGCCCTCGTGCTCCGTTCCATTCGTTTCTTTCCCTTCTCAAGTGCTTATTCTTTCCTCCAATTTAGCCAAATTCTACTGCACTATCCATTTCCATCCTACCCCCAAGAAAATCTCAACTTCAGGCTCCTCAAATATGCCAGCTCGAACACTTGGTAAGTTTCGAAAGTATTATTTATGCATGGTTTTGTTGTCGATTTTTCAGCTAGTCGAAACCGTAAACCAAATTAATTAATCCGACCATCTCATTGGACTTCTTAATTGAATTGTACTTATTATTGATGGCCTCTTGGTCGAAATTGGCATATTAACTTCATTTCCCTTGAAAATGAAATGCACAGATAAAACGCCTATTTCTAGGGCCACATGTGAAACATTCGAATGTCCATTATTGATACACTGTCATTCGTTCTGTGTTTGTTTACGTCATGACCTCATATCGTGTAATCGTTTGTGATCAGGGGAACTTTTGGTTTTTATTAAATCTCAAAATTGTTAATTTTCTCCTTACTCTAGTTCAACTTGCTCCTGAATAAATTATGATTGGGACATGCATGCCTATTTACTAGTTAAGATGGTCTGTTAATTAAGCCGATGACTTAAATGAAGGTGTTTCGTATTTGAGTAATTGTTAAGCCTGCAATAATTTCTTGCATTTGATGTGATAATGTCACTTTGTTGATTGGTTCCCACATCGATTAGGAAAACCAATTTCGGAAGTTAAATATACTTATTTACCTCGTTTACTTGCTGGTATTTGGCATTTTCGTTTAGAAGAAAAGCTCCAGTGCCTAATTCTATCCTGAGATTTAGCTTGTCGGACAAAGCACGCTAAATGTCTATGGCGCTTAGTCATCTGAATTTTAATCGTCCGTGGTAGACTAAGCGATGGGAGTTGGCGACGGATGTTGTATTAAACAAACGCACTGTGGTTTAATGTATAGTCAGCTCATAAGCTTTTGCATTTTCTGTTTCCGCCGTCTCACATCTAGATCTCTGGCTAAAGTAAGTAGTGTAGTGGGCAATTTCCTTCAATGGCGGTCTAGAGAAGAGCTTTTTAAAATTGAGGTGAGCAACTTTAAGATCTTACAGTTATGAAATTATCTTCTGCTTCTCTGTCGAGGGAAATAAATTGGAATTGAACTCAGTCGCTAAAAAGGGATCCGGTCGTTGGTCGTAAACTATACGGTCTATGTGCAAAAGAATGTGCCTGGTTGTCTTCCCTACAGAGGTTTTACTCTGCTTACTACTTATGGTGCACAGATAACTTTTTTATAGGCTACGTTTATTAACGTGGTTTATTCGATATTTTGATATCTCACAAAGGAAGTCGTCTGAATTGACGATATAGCCCTCATTTTGCAAATGCATTTCGAACCAGTCCATTGTCACCGCTAAACAATGTCAATATATCTATCATTGCTTCAAACTTCGATACGATATGATTATTTTTTTCTAGTTTCATTTTAAATCATAATATGCCAAGAAATGAGCTTTTATACTACTTAAATAATCATTCCCTTACCAATTAATTGACCGAAGACCCAGTTGCATTTGGTGTCTTGAAATTTTTCGCTCCCTTCTGAATTGCGCGTGGGGGATTGAGTAAATTTTACGCTATTGCCAATAGAAACTACCGTTTAGGGGAAGAATTCAGTGAGCACTATCGCTCTGTTCGATGAATGATTTGGCGAACCACTATACAAGTTGTTTGTGGAATGAAAATACGTATCTGTATATAATCTTATTGGTCTCGCGTCTGCATTGTCAAACTGGCAGGTATTCGATCGTTTAATCGTCAATCGTTGACATGAACCGTACTGTTGAAATAACGCATGCAATGTCCTATTTTCCCAAATTCCTTTCTCTCTCTCTCTCAAGTTGCATGCTGAAATATTTCTATATTTTGGCATTTGAGTAGAATAGATGAGTAATTTTTATTTTTCTCATGCACTCTTGTATTGCTGTCTGCCAACTGCTTTTGTCAACGAATTTCTAAAAACAAATTCCATGGTTAGAGAACTTTTCAGAAGCGCAGACACCATGCTATCATTGGAAATTACCTAATGACTGAGATAGGGATTTTCTAGTGCCAGACATGATTTCCCAGTTGGAAATGTTTCAACTTATATCAATCTCGTAATTTTCTGCAGAAATGTATTGAATGTGAATCAACTTCTTATTTTCTCTAAAGTTCAATATGCTTCAAAGTATTGGCATATTCAGCAATAGGTTGTTCACATTGGATATGTGTCGAGAAATTATCTTATTATCGTGCCAGTTGAGCAGAAGGGGTTATACCTTGATTCGGTGACTTTCTTGAAATCAAAGGCTTTCGGTTAGTTCATGTTTTGATTTGCGTCTCCTAGTCCTTTATAAAGGCTACGCAATTTAATCGAAATCTGATTTTGAACGAGGTTTGTTGCTAAACCCACCAGATGTTGGCTTCCATTAAAATTTTTAAGTTGAAGATACCACGTGGTGCCTAGTTCAAGTGGTTAGTTACAAGTTAGCAATAAATTTAATTAAGTTTATTCTTCAACTCAGCTCAAGGAAGAGACTTAAAAATTATTATTTTTAGGAAGTCTCGTACTTTCATCGCTCTCTTCGGATCCCAAATTTAAATATTTTTCGTCTAATGTTGCCCTTTAACTTAATCAGCGAACCCAGGAGTTAATGCACATTTGCTTCTGATTTTTTTATTGACTTGAAATATATTAAAGGCCTCAATTCTGGACTTGGCTTATTAAATCAAAAGTTGTTCTTTCAAGCTCGGATGAATCACTATTCGAGCTTCTGGTCTACTAGTTATTTTATCGGTTTAACTATTTCTTTGTGGATCAGGATTCCCATATTTAGTGAACTATCTGTTAGTTCCATAAAGAGGCTTCTTAATTGTCAATTGATTATTGATTTACTATTAATTTGAGCAATTCTATTATTCCCTTATTCTAACTCAACTATTGTGGTAAGTGCATTCGTTTTAATGACATTTTCTCTCAATCCACTCCTTAAGGCTTATAAAGTACATTTTAATATTTTCGTCTATTCTCCACTAATGCAAATTTTTTTGCACAAAATGCATTCGTTTGAAATACTGAGAGATTTTTGTTCCCTTAACCATATGCAAACTTTGATCAAAGTAAAGTTTTTGTAATTGTTATTTTTAAATTTTCCTGCTTTCTGTTGTTTTTTTCAGCCAAAAAATCCTGTTAACAATACGGCCTATGAAACTGTCTTAGTTGAATTTATACTCCCTGGAATTTTGTCCTTTATTCAACTATTGTAATTCCACCTAGTGTAAAGTTACAGAGGTTTTGGTGTTAACTGGGCCTCCAAACATTATTGCACCTAACTTCAAAGGTAAGTAGTTTTCTCGCCTTGAAAATGATATCCTCGATGTACGATCGAACTTAGCTTTTCATATTTTGGTTTGGGTTATTTATGTCGTGATTCCAATAGGAACTTATAAATGGCTATGTTACTTGTAACCTTGTTCAAATTAATAATAATTTGGCTAGATGAGGGAATAATCGGAAAAGCTTCAGTAAATTAGGTAATTTTTAGCTCTTATTAATGAAAATTGAGGAGATATCTTACATAGTATTGAATTTTCATTAAAATTAAACATTTTACTGAATCATTCGTTTACAGCTATTTTCCACATTCACTGATCCCGTTATGAAAGTAGGTATCGAAACTGAAAAGTGTTAATAACTACTTAAAATTGTAAAAGATTTCATCATTTTGGATATTTGAGATGTTGATCACGTTAGGGTTCATGAATGCACAACTAACCGAGCTTTCCCATAGCTTTGTTTACTGTTTTGCCTGGTTAAGTTGTTTATCTTTGCTCAGCCCTTATTATACAAATGACTCATCACTTAATTTGTCCAAGGAGATCTCGGTGATTGAGACGGACGCATTTAGGTTGAAAGTGCTTGGAATATTTATTATTTATTTATTTGTTTAAATATCTCTAAAATTTCCCGAAATTTGAATCTATTGCCACCTTGGTGTCAATTTTACATATTTGTTAATTCAAGAGTAGAAAATACAAGCGAGAGGAATTGAGTTTGCTAACTTAAACGCTTTTTTAATAAGGTGTGAATATTTTAGAGTCATTATCAATGTCTTTCTTTAGCGAAACCTAGTGAGGTCTACTATCAACAAGTCCTATCCACTCTCTTCACTTTGACTGTGGGAAAATGTAAATGCTATCCAACAATGTAACTTTATGTTACTAATTAGTACATTGGTAATTTGAGGCAATCGACTTATTCGACTTTCGAATTATAGGATCCTTGGCTTTTTATACCTCGTATCATCTGAATCTTATTTACTGATTATAATTCGTATTTTGATGAACTCGAAAGTCAGTCAGAACAATATTTACATAACTTTTGTTGTTTATGTGCCGAATTTAACTAGATTAGTCTCAGTCTTGTTTAAATCGTTCATATCGGTAGTCAATATTTAAATCCACTTTAGTGGCCTCCAAACCCCGCACCTCCAACGCACCAAGTCTCTTCTACAATCTAGTCAATTCTACGCCTCCCTCTTCAAGGCCACATCGATGTGCTTTGACTGGTGACGGCACATCTTCCAATGCTAGTTCCCTGATCTCGGATGTTACCACTGACATCCAACCACGTGCTGCACGTCGTCGGCAGATCAACAACCGCCGTTGGTCCGTTCTACGTGGTATCCGAGACGAACCTGCACCTCCGGTACTCCTCAATGCCCGAAATGGGGTCCCTGGAACCCTTGGACTCCCTGAATGTATTCGACGGGCGGCCTTTGATGAGAGACTCTATCGTCTGAATGGATCTCTACAACCTGCTGATTTTCTAAGGTATGGTAGGTTGAAATTTTCCATAGCCTTTTCTAGTATCCCACACCTTAAAGTAAGATAGAATATTTTCTGCTGGGAAGTTTATTAAAAATTACAAATGCAATATTTTTCGTAAAGGAGAATGACTTCAGTGTTAGACTTATTGCGTTTTTTTAACAGATTTATCACAGCAGCACTATACACTGCACACCTCAGTGAAAATTAGCATGCTATGCACGCTAGCTTTTAAATTACTTTGGATTAACCCCTCTATAGCTTTGCACAGTGCAAATTTCAACAAGACTGCAGTCGGCCTTTAATAATTTTTGGGTAAAGAAGGAAAAAGTAAGTATTTTTGTCTTAAACACTGACTGTTTTTGCTGCTATTTGCTGAAACGTATTATGCACCTGATTCAGATTGTTGTTTGGTATCTGGCATTGTCTTTCAATGAGCCGAAATTATTTGGGAACTATCCTATTAGTGAATGTCAAAATTAGTAGAACTTTTTCACCATGAAATATTTCCCCACTGGAGCTATGTTTTTCTCAGATCCTTTCGGAAGGGGGGGGCAGAAATCCGTAACTCAAATTCTACTTTATATGGGACTGTTTGGCAATCGGATTTGGCAGTAAAGCGGCAGTTGTAAGACGTCCCTTCAATGTATGAGCCTGACAACTTTTCTCTCAATAGAATTCCCCGTAAGGCAAAAAATTGCTCATTTTCGTTGTGTGTAAGCGACTGAATTGGTTTAGTATCAATGGGCCCAAAAAATTATTGATCGTAAAACTGCATTAAAAGATTGTGTTTTGTCAATGTTTATAGCATTTACTAAACGGCAAACTCACATTCGAGATGTCAAATTTCACGATTGGACAAGATATATTTCCCAAAGTTTTCAGTATCTATTGACCAGCTGTTCAACTCAACATCAGGAAAGTGGAATACTATTAGGCAACTTGCATAATCTCCAAATAGCAGAACTGAAAGAGAGAGAGAGAACTCAAAATGCAGTGCTCACTCAAGGTCAATGATTTGATCTTTGTTATTAATTTACATGATAAATTAAAGCTTTACTAAATCCAATAACATGAAAGGACCTATGATATCGTCAGATTTGAACTTTTTGTGAACTACCTTGATGTGTAAAACTTGACTGTATTTCAATCCACTGCTTCTGTTCCCAGACTTACTAACCATTTGTGTTCATTAATAATTCCTTGTATTCTGGTGTCTTTGTTTTATGAGCTCCGTGTGTTCACTTGTCCTCGCGTGTTCATCAATTTTTTAGCGTGTCTCGGCCTCTTAATTGCGAAGTGCTGAGCGAATTCGTTTCCGTGGGGATCATCCATTCTACGCAAATGTGAGAACACTGTCATGTGGTTTTTGTCACCAGAGAGGAGAGTTATGTCCACCAACTTTTTTGTTTGTCAATTTCCGTACTTCCACTGTGTCTTTTGGTTTTGTGCTAATTCTGTTTACAAACCCTAGCGCATTATTATTGCCCTGAAAGTGAAATTTACTCAGTTCTGTTGTGCTAAAGTAACCTTGAATAGTATGAAGCTGATCTACATTTATAGCGGTGGTTGATTAATCTGAAAAACTAATTGACATTCTTTGATGCTCAATATTATAGAACTATCTCAATAGAAAAATTCTGAACTAATGTAAAATTTGTACACTGCTGCTTACTGAACCTTTTGAGTTAAATTTGCTAACCCTGAGAATTCGACCGTTCAAATGGGCTGAAGCGCTATCTGGTTGTCCTAAATTTTACTCTTTTATACTTTCCAACTGTACTTTGGCTAGATACTAGTTAATTATCAAGCAAACATCGATTTTTTGCTTTCTCAAGACAATAATAACCGGGCAGATTAGTATTGTATTTTAAAAAAACGGTTACTTTTAAAAAACGTTAACAAACTTTTTAAGTATTTGATTGCATTTTGAAGTTCCCACGATGACTCTGTCAGTGATTTTTTTTATTAAAGAATATATATGAAAAAATATCTCAATTTGAGAAAATTTCGGCAAATGCATTTACTTTATATCAAATAAAAGATTATGAAGCAAGTATTTGAAATTGCGAATATTTGTGTCGATTCCCAACTTCAAGTTGAACATTGAATAAGCACTTAAGTCAAGTTTGAACCCGTTTTCCCTGCAAGAGTATATTCGATGAACGTCTTTACCCCCCGTCATTGAATAATCTCAAAAATAAAGCTCGTTTTGAATTACTTCATTTATTTTAAACTATGAAAAATTATTTGCATTTCCACTTTTGTTAAGAAAGTTCATCTGGAGATATGCTCTTTTAAAACTAACTTTTTACATCCGAATGACTACTTTATAGTATTTTACAATTTTTCTAGAGTCCTTTTTTACACAGCATTCTTACTCGGTTTGAAGCGTAGGAGGCTGTCAAAAAATGCACTAATATGATTTCACACTAATTGTAGCTTCAATTATACCGATTATTCGTGAGAAAGCCAAATTCTGTCGTTTTTTTCACCACCTAATTGATTTCACGTGTATTCCCGTTTTTTTCAGTGATATTACGTCATACCTTCTTGATGACAATGAGGACTTTTTTGCGTAAGTACACAAAATTGACTACTTAATAATTTACCAATAGCATTCAATATAATGAATTACGCACCCATTATAGATCAACCGAAGAGGACTTATCTGATCTCAATACTACAAGCAACATTCTCTCCTCAGGCTTTGATGAATCTCCACTAATTAGTATGGAGGAGGCAACTCACCTGTGCCGAATTCGACGTGATGAAAACTTATACCTCCGCCATCATCCACCCACTGAAAGTTCTTCAGAAACTTATTCAGACGACTCACAAAGTGACGAGGACAGCCGAATTTCCTCGGCGGAAATTTTCGACACTCCCGAACAAGCTCCTGAATACGCCAATGCACGCTGGACTCTCATGCGGCCTCACTCTCCAGGCGACTCTAATCCCCCTCCGACCAATTTTAATTCTCCCACGATTACTAATATCAATTCAGTTGAATCATCCCCTCTTGTACAAAAGTACGGTCTTTCCGCCCCCATACTACTTGCTAAACAGCGTTTCCTGATGGCCGATCCCGAGCCTATCCGTATTGATTCAGTGGCTTTTCGTGCAAGCAAGAACAAGGAGCGTACAACCGAGACTACACTTCCTGATTGTACTGAGGAAGTGAGTTACATTCCCGGAGTAATTGCCATCACTCTGCCTCTTATAGATGTTCTGGAACCCTCGTCGACTTTGCTAGACCATTACACTTCATCTGAACTTGTAGCAATCACCCCTCAAGTCTCTTCCCTCCCTACCTACCTCAATCTACCGGTACTTAACCTACCTATTCAACCAATGATCTCCCTCTCACCTTTAAACCCTCCTATATCTGACACTGTGAATTCATCTATAGTGGAGGAAAATGAGTTCATGGCATTTGATCAGAGCATCGAATCAAGGCCTGTAAGAAATGGCACTATCACAATTGTAGATACACTTCCACACTTGACTTACCCCCTTCTAAAACGGTCTTCCACAATGTTGAGTGAAACCTACGGTTCAGAAGCATTTGATGGTTCCACGGTTGTTAGTGAGTACAACTGTGTTCTAGAACCTAGCTCACACAGAAACGGTACTGTTAGTGCTACCGTATCTCTTGTGTCAAGTAGCTCAGAATCTGAGTCAGAGAGTGATGATGAACTTGTACTCCTTCAGAAGTCTGTCATTTATCCACCAACAGAACTTAGTCAACAGTTAAAGGAAAACATTGATCAGGTTTCCAGACACGAGGCTGTTCCACTGTATATGCTGACCTCGAGGTTGGATTCTGATGATGACCAGAGACTAGTGAATCCTCATGAGGCCTTAGATTATCAAGATGATGAGGAAGAAGATACAACGGAAAGTTCTTCTGAAGATGACTCATCTCTTCCACCATTTACTGGTGTTCATGCAAAGGAGATAGCCGCATTAAAAACTCGACTTTCTCAACTTGAAAATGAGATGCTTGAATTAGAGGTTCAAGGTGCTCTAAAGGAGCGAGCTCTTAGAGGGCTGGAGGAATCAGCAGCTCAACATGCAGAATTGTATTTAGGATTTCAGACCTCATCCACAAGTGAGCCAGACCTATCTGTCAATACCTCTGCTAAGCGTGAAGCGAATTCTCGGTGGCGGTGGTTAAAGTCCAAGCGAAACGGAAATCGAATCACACGTAACTCGACATGCAATCGTCTAGAGATGCCTGAACAAGAGATGAAAGAATATCCAGAAAAAGCCCAGATCTTTTCCGAATTGCTTTCTCTCATCTCTCAGAGGAATAAACTCGTTACTCAGGAAGCGATCATCATGGCAGAGTTGAAGAAAATAGAGCTGGAAGCTTATGAAGAGACCCTTCAAAAGGCTTACGACTCCTTGAGACAAAATGGTGAGACTAAAGATGTCAAAATCGGCAGAGCATTTAAACGTCATGGCGCTGGGAAGTTAAAAAAGGAGCGTATCTATCCGTCCAATAGAGATCCTAGTAGTGAAACAAAGGAGAAAATTCTTCTGGATGAAATCCGAAAGGTTTCGTTAGAGAAGACAGCTTTGACAGCTATTCAGAGCGAGACTATTCAACTGTAAGCTGTCTGCCTGCCTTTGTGCCTATCTAAGTAGTAGTTACGTGAATGTATTACGTGTTCGTGTTCAAGCTCATTTCTATTTCTCCCTCATTTATTGACATTACAGACCAGATAGCAAGGACTCATGGTTTTAGGTGTGTGAGTTTATTTCATGCGCATGTTATTCTCTTCTCATCCTATCGTGCTGTGTGTATTTTTGTCTTTGTCTTATTTCATCCTTATGTGTGTTTTTCTGGGCTTGCCATCGTTTTTGCTACCTTGCATGCCACTTTGCACGTTTTCGCACCTCATCACACCATACGTTTTGTCATTTAGTCCTTGTTTTGACAGGAAATATCTTATTGTAATGCATGAATTCATTTGATGAACTGTTGTTATGGCCCTACAGAAAGTGTACTTCTCACCACAATCCACCCTAAGGATCTAGTTTAAAAATAATCTGTAGGGGATAGTTGAAATTCGCTGAACTACTTTTTGTTAGATCTTTACAAATTTCACTGCCTCGTAGAGAAGGCATAAAACTAAAATTCTACTTGGACAACAAGGTAATGTAGTAGCATCAATAGACCACTTTACAAGCAGATGATTGAATCACATCGAGTTCAGATTCGCCGGAGCACTTCCCTTATGACTGACTAAGATTATACTTTAGAAGAATGAACAAAATATACCTCTAAGGAGAGGTAATATTTTTCCAGTTGCTAGATAGGGTAGTGTACTTTAGGGAAGTCCAAGACAGTACGTATATCCACTTATACGGTCGAGTCTATTTTAAGGGCATACGGTCAGGAGTACAAATCTCCTGAGCGAATTTTGAATGTGCATTCTTACGTTTGAGGCTTGGGAGTATAGAAGAAAACCTTGTCTATAGGTGGATATATTGCATAATGAACAGAAGCTTTTACTAAGGTGTGTAGTCCCAAATTTTGACCCTGCATCTGTGTTTGGAATTTAATCCCTTAATTTCTGATATTTTATTGCTTGGCAGAGAATTACTTTAAAATGAGTATTGCTTATCATTTTGAAAGCATTGGTCACTTATCGCTGTGAAAATGAAATTAACTTTGGCAAGTGTCTCAATTATTGTATAGTAATCTAATGAGATGAAGTTTTTCTTTATTGGTAACTGTCTATCATTTTCTTTGTTTCGGATAAGAATTGCACGCCTATTTTGCCGTTCGCTTTTATATGATGAACCTTAACTATAAAGTTGCTTTTTGCTGAATAGCTGGTATGCAGTGGAAATACAAAAATACAAATACAAAAAGTATTCAATAATGGGTTCATTATCAGTTAACAAATTATTTATTTCGTCATTGCAGTAAGCATGCTCTGTCTACCTTACACCATAATATGCCATTGAATATTTTCTATGTTGCAAGATCCTTATCTAAAGCTTTGCTAATTTTCTCTTTCTGTGTCTTCTGCGTAGTGATAATCTTCAGGAGATGAGTGTTCGAGGGGTTCTTAGTCGAGGTGCAAAAGCGCTCCGTTCTATTTTCTCCCCATCTTCCCGCTCCACCGCTGCTACCACTACTAACAGTAATACTACGACCACTACTTTCCTAAAGAACGTGACGTCTGATGGCACAAAGCATTACAATCGACGTGGTGTTCATGGCTCCAGCTCTGCCTACTTTCAGAGAGCTAGCATTTATGATTAATCTCCCTTTTCCTCACTATAACTAACTACAGTTTTGGCTGTCCTATTTCTTTCGGTCTTTCTCATTCTGACCCCTGACTACTTCTCTTCTGATCTAAGCCCTATTCATGTTACATGCTAATTGTCTGAATACTTAAGACGATTTGAAAATGATGACCATGTATGATAATCCTTTTTTATTTGGCATAATATTATGAAAAAACTAATTGATATTGTGTCTATTTGGGTTAGTACTTCCGACGACACTTCTTTTCGCATTGTATTGGGTTAGAGCCTTCAGCTATTGGTAAAAAGCTTTCCCTAATATAGGCTTTTCCATACAACTTTTTAATTTGGATTTTATCAGTGATGTCAGAAGACTATTTTTCTGTCGTTTTCCTTTAGCAATCGAAATGGACCAATGTATCCCTATCTTTTACAATAGAATCATTAATCAAATAATGACTGTGCTGCTCCATAGTTGGGTGGTTAAACTAGTCTCTTTGTTTTCATTTGGTTTATGTGAACCATCCAAATTTAGATGCGCATACATATTTTACCACAATTCAAGTTGAATGGCCGATAAGTGATAGAGGGGTGAAGGAGGAGTCGAATGAGAACTTGTATTAGAAGTAAGCAGAGGAGAATTGTTTGATAGTTCTCATTTATTAAGTTAACAAAGTTGCCCGTGCTATTTTATTGTGTTCCCAAGCGAAGATATCGTGCTCTCTGCCACGAATTTTCGTCTCTACTGAAAAACAATAGCATTTGAAGTTTTTCCAATTTAGGCATTGTTTCATCCATTAAGAGAACTACTTTTGAACTGTAGATTGCAAGATGTTTCGATGTTTTGAAGTGGTGTGGAGCATGATTAGTGTCGTCTGCTAACATTGATGTTTGCAGTTATGTAGTTGACTCAGTCGATAAGAAAGATGCGGATAGAATTCTTAAAAGCAAATGATAACAGCTATGGGATGTTTACTATTGAGTGGGAAAGTCTGTGGAGTGTTAAACAACAATACTGACTATAGTAATCTCATGAGCACTAGAGAGTTCCGAAAATGTGACCGTCCCAACGATCACGTACTGAGCAAGTGTGGAGTGCGTCTTAACTAATCAACAGTTAATATAACTTCAAAGTAAGCTAAATCTTTTCATTTACTGGCCATATTTGTAATGAGTGCTACTCTATTCATTCGTTCAGTTTCCCCACTCTTGTTGACATACATTAGCTACTTTTGGAATCTATTATATGCAAGAGAATTTTACCACGGAGGATTGTAAAAGTTTAGTCAAAACCATTGTGCATCATATTCTACGTGTCACTGTACAGTCAGCAAATCAGCGCTGCAACCTTCTACTCTTCATTATTTACTATTTTATGCCTATGGCTTACCTCCACGTGGTGCACCCTGGGCAACGTATACTCATACGGCAAAAAAGTCTATTAACTGGCAGTTAATTTCTCACTTCAACGCAAAAAGGTCTATTAACTGGCAGTTGACTTCTCACTTCACAAAAAAGTCTATTAACCGGCAGTTGACTTCTGACTACTCAAACGGCAAAAAAGTCTATAAACCGGCAGTTGACTTCTGACTGAAAAGGTCTATTAACTGGCAGTTGACTTCTGACTTCAAATAAAAGTCTATCAATCGGCAGTTGACTTCTCACTTCAAACTAAAGTCTATTACCTGGCAGTTGACTTCAAACTACCATGAGTAAGTCTATTAACTGGCAGTTGACTTCTGAGTTCAAACTATCATGACCCCAAGTCTATTAATCGGCAGTTGACTTCTGACTTCAATTACCATGATCTATTAACTGGCAGTTGACTTCTCTATGTCATATTCGAAGTCTATAAACCGGCAGTTGACTTCAAACTATCGGCAAAAAAATTCTATTAACCGGCAGTTGACTTCTGACTTCAACGGCAAAGTCTATTAACTGGTAGTTGACTTCTCCGCATACGGCAAAAAAGTCTATTAACCGGCAGTTTTCTTCTCACTTCAAACTACCATGACCCCCCTATATGTCCTACTTCTCACTTCAAACTATCATGACCCCACTGTATGTCATATTTGACCCCTTACACAGTACTTATCTTACTTTTTCTCCGCCTTTGTGTCTGTCTGTCT